TTTTTGGGTTCATTGAGAACATGGTTGTTGTTCAACAATAAAATCATTCCTCAAAAATACAACTTGCCTAATAATTCTGCACTCCCTCTAATAAGTAGCTCAATGAGGTAGCTTGGATATATATTATTAATAATTCGGAAGGTGAGCAGCAGGATTTTGAATTGAATGTGATACTAACCAATCAACCTGATCTCACTAACTATGGTGGTGCAGTGCTTGGCACTGTTGCCTCACCACTTTCAAATCCACCACCTGACACAGATAACGTGTGTGGTGTTTGCATGTTCTGTCTGGGTAGTCCAGCTTCCTCCCAAAGTTCACAAACATGCAGTTAGAGGGGGTAACTTATACAACCTGCAATTTTTAAACACCAATCAAAAACACTGCTGCCTGTCAAAGCACAGATCAAGAAACAATAGTCGAGGGAATAAAGGATTTTACTCTAATTCTGCGCATAAAATAGTGGCGACTAGAAGCAAGTAAGCTTGTCTAAGGTGACTCCATTCCTTCCATACGATCATGTGAAACAGAATGTACTCCTTATTTCAATTCTAAGGTTTTACCCATGAGGACATAAAGAATCATCCCACAGTTCTGAGGTTAGCGTTAGCATGGGGGATGATATTGAGTAATTACTCTGCACACAGAGAACAACCAATATAAAATCCCTATTTCTCTAAACTCCCTAGTCAATAAAAATACTGGCGGCTGCCAGTGCTACCCCTCATCCTCCTAGTACCACAACTGTGGTATTATTTTGAATTACTTTACTTTAAATTAGAGAAGCACAGCTATTGCAGGGGGGGCGGTATGAAAAGGGTAAAAAAAAAAACGCGTTGGGGGGGGCGGACATTTTTCTTTGTAAAACAAAGGGGGCCTAGCAAAAAAAGTTTGGGAACCACTGCCCTAACTCATCTTTATCTAAAAATGAAATTAAAGTATGCTTTAATACTTTTTATGGGTAATGTGATGCTGAGTGTTAAAACAGAGTTTATCTACATGTGTTTTTGCTCATAATTAAATTATCTCTGATTTTAATCAAAAGTATAATTAAATATGATGTGTAATAATAATACTAATCACACTCAATACTTTAATTAGTATATCAGTCTAACTAATATGATGAATACGAAAATATATTCTGAATAATAAAATGATCTGCATGTAGTTGTCTGTTTGTGCTAAAAATAACTGTGGGTGAGGGGAAACTGAAAAAAAATGATATTGAATATATTTTGCAAACACAGGAAAAAAGTACTGCTATGTAACAGAGTTAAAAATAAATCATGTTGGAGTCATAGTATGGAGGGTGCTGAGTGCCAAAATGTTGGCAGCAGGAACCGACAAAAAGGCTCCTGACCAGATATTTGCAGTTTTTTATTTAAAGTTTACCTACAGGCCATGCAGAGAGTCACAGTAACTTTGTTTAAGATAAACAGTTGGTTTTTATACACCACAGCGATAAAACAGTTCAACCTCAGATTTGAACACATTTAGATAAATTTGCAATCTTGGAATTTATGTAACTATAATGAACTTTAATTTCTTTAATTTTCTCTTAGGTTTTCCACACACATCTGTCCTCAATGTTTTCAAAGACCTAAGCATCAATTGGACGAACTTGGCCACAACAAGACTCTTTCCTAAGGTACAGTTTGGTGTTACTGTTTGGAACATTACCAAGGACAGTGGTCATTAACCCCTGAAATGTTGCAGGGGCATTTTTTCATCCCAAATACCAGGATAGTACAATACAGCTCCTTGTGAGCTCCTGTTTCTGAAATATATATTTTAACTATCCAGGCACATGTAATATCATGGCTCCAGTTCCTGGCTCCTATCTAGACTGGCAACATAATGACTATTTCTGGGTCCTCCCAAAAGAGGACTGAAGTAAGGCCAATTAGTGTTAATTCAAATTATGAATTAAATTAGTCAGCATTAAGCATTTGGCTTAATGCTTAACTGCATATTTACCTATCACAATGAAT